GCGTGGGTGGAGGACACTTTGGGGCCTTCTGACAATAGCATGTTGAGGTCTATGTGAGGTACCGTATAGACAACAACTATACAAAATCTATGACCAGAATGTTGGTGCTTCTTCTGGCTTCTAAAAGTGGCGTGCCATCTTGCTGTTTGCGAATATAACTCACGGCTCAGGGATTGGGTTCAAGGAAGAGGCTCTATAGGGGTTTCGGGAACCCTGAACCCAAAGCCGTGAAAGGTTTGAAGTTCGGCTTCAAAGGTTCTAGTCCCCCTTAAGTAGATAGAATATGGGGTATATGGACATCTAGGGTTGTTTGAAGGTTTCAGGGCTACGACCTAACTGGTAAAGGATGATGTAGAACAGGCTCTTGTTAAGGGATTACAACAGTAAATAGTACCCCTCCAAAGGTACCCCTGAGGGTTTAAGGAGCTAATAAGGATTATATTGGGCTTAGTAAGGCCGAATAGGCTTCAAAATCTCGGGGAGATACCCTGGGGGGGAGGGGTGCTATTGCAATCCCGTACTTGGTTATGGCCCGTGCACTACCGAGGCAGCACATGGCGCGGCCACTACACACGATCATCGTGTTCATCGCTAGCGCTCCCGTACGATTCGGGCATGTTCATGAATTGCAGATGACTTTGCCCTAAACCCTAAACACTAAACCCCTAAACCCCTAACCCCCAAAACCCTAAACCCCAACACCATGAATCTGGACCCCTTACGGGTCGGATAGATTCCTGGATAGACCCCCTGAAGAAGGACTCATGCTACAAGGATTTTCATGAAACCGCAGGGGTTCTTAGAGGGTCTCATTTGAAGGCCCTGAACTAAACCCTGAACCTGGCCCAAGAAAAGTGAAGCATGCTTCGAAACCTTGAAGCTCAGGGTTCTAAGTTTATAAAAATCGTAGCATTTGGGGCCAAAAATCCCCATTACTTGGCCGGTAGGAAGATTGAAGCCGTAAACCCCATGATTCAAGTCCGCTTCTACTGCAGGAAAACGGCCCGAATCGCTTCCTTCACTGTTGCCTGGCGGCAATGTCTTTAAATGATCTGCAAGCCTGCCAGTCACCCAGCTTAGGGAGAAGTAGGGGTTCAGGATCTCGAGCTTTTGAAAATTCATCTCAAGTGTCTACGGGGGCTGTACACAAATTATGTAGGAATTGTAGGCTTTATGGGCCCGGCTTACCGCACGCAACCAATCCTCTTTAGAAACAAGCGTTTTCCAATGTGTGTGAATGTCTTTCCATTGTTCTTTGCATAAGGTTGCTCAAGCTATGCTTTGCGGATGTTGAGCTTAGGTGTTCAGGGTGCACCTAGACCCTCCAAAGTAGAAGCTTTTGCTAGTCCTAATAGCAAACCAAAAACCCATACCAAACCCAAAAAAGAAGTACATTGGAGGGTCCAGGTAGGGCCCAGGTTTTTGGGCAGCAGGGCTTGGGGCTTCGGATTGAATAGTTAACCCTCGGGATCCAGGTAGCCTCAGATAGCTCAATGTAGGAAATGTTTACAGACTTTAGGGCCCAATGTAAGTACTGTTCGTATACTTGCATACCTAGGACCTAGGGTAACAGCTAAATAGTTTTGGTCGTTGAGTTTGGTGAAGTCAAGTCATGATAGGGGAATTCAAAAGTATTTAGGGACGTCACCTTTGATGGCTTCGTTCACCCGCGTCGAAGAGACATTCTCATGGTCCGAATACACAAATATCACCCTGCGGATTCACATTTAAAACATGTTTACATTGGGCCTTGAAGCGTATGAATGATACCTGCTTGTATGAATGATACCTGCTTTGGGCTATGTGGATCCGGATTAGGGTTTTAGGTGCCCAAGACCAGTGACATATAAGAATTTGGAACCTCGAGCCCCAGTATTTGGGCACCTCAAGCCTTAGAAACAAGTATTCCCAGCTCAACTCGCGCGGGGATGCATAGCCTCACCTCTAGGTTCTAAGGACTCATATAGTGAGGGCTTTGGGGCCCAAAGACCATATTAGAAAAGGCTGTTGAGCGATTTTGAGCCTCAGGGTCAGGGTATGGCTTGGGGCTTAAAGTGAAAGCTTTAGGGCTTCGAGCTTAGGGTTTAGGCAATAGGCTTGGTTCCTCACTGAAATACGGCTAAGCACCAACTATGTACGCCTTAGTGGGTGTTGGTTTACTGAACTGTACAGAATGTGTTCAACGATACCCCAGGCTTTGGATTCAAGGTCCCTCCCTAAACCCTAGACCCTAAATCCCTAAACGCTACCTGGACCCCAACAGTATGTAAAATAATGGCCTTTATGGCTGTTATTATGGGTTTAGGGCTATTATTTTACATACTTTTGGGGTTTCGGTAAACCCTGGACAATACGCGCACTTCATTTTGCGCGGTATAGACCACACGAAAATGCTGACATACTGTTGATGGAGGAAATCTTGCACCACCTAGGGCCAGTAACTACTGTAATTCTGAGCGTTTTAGGAACTGAAGGTGGTGCAAGATCTCCTCCATCATCAGTAACACCCCCAAAAAACTGGAGACCCTAGGGCATATAAGGGTTTGGTTCCAGAAGTCCTGAGTTAGGGTCCCTAAACCCTTAACCCAAAAACCCAAACCCTAAACACAAAAACCTAGACCCGAAACCCTAAAACCTAAACCCTAAAGGTTCAGGGTTTTTAGGGCCTGAGGAGCTTCGAGCCGGATTTTTGTCGGCAAGTTATGCGAACAGGGTCTCTATACTTATCGACAGGATACACTTGGAACTTTCTCAATGGCTCCCAAAATGCCCCCGTACTTTTACCCCTCAACCGCAACCCTAAACCCTAAGCCCTAAACCCTGAACCCTAAACCCTAGCCCACAACCCTAACTGACAAGCTTGAACTCTGACGTTTGAAGGTTGGGGCTTCAAGGCACAAGGTTTTCGAGTTTGGTGCCTTGCAGGAATGGATTAGGGGAAATGAAGAGTCTCGGAAGCCTAGAGAAACCGAAGCCGTGATTCCCTGGAAACCAGCCGCAAAAGAAACAAGAATAGTCTTCAGGCGCAGGACCCATACTGATACTAGGGGAGGTCTTTGTTTGGGGGATCTGCATAAGAAGGGTAATGATGGCGTTTGGGGGTATGACCCCCCTATGTTTGCAAATACCCCCGCTGGGCAGTTTAAAGTATGGTTTGAAGTACCCCCCCTATGTTTGCAAAAACCCCTGCTGGGCACTTTCAAGTATGGTTTGAAGTACGAAACATGAAAGTCTTCCAACTATAGCTCCCATTGTCCAACTTGCATCGTGAGTCCAAAATTAGCAAGGTAAATTAGAATAATTTCAACCCCCTCAGAATTAGGCATGAACGCCGTAAAACCCACAAGCCCCCAAGCCCTGAAACCCGCGAGATGCTGTACCCTTAGCCCCCAAGGCCCTTAAACATCCCTCAAATCTCCAACCCCCAAATCTCTAAGTTCCCCTACCACTCCGAATTCTCCCTAAATAACCTTCACAAAGGGGGGAACCTAGGGGGGGTAGTATAGAGGGGGGGTCGTAGGGGAACCCATGATAAACCCTAAACCCTAAACCCATAACAAAAAAGAAACGGGAAACATCGCATCGAGGCCCAAGCTCGCTGTCCCCAAGCTATCTGAAAGAGTGGCCGACCACTTCAATGAGGACCTGCCCGGATTCGGTTGAGGGTTTAGAGTTCAAGGTCTAGAGTTTAGGGACTCGGGCTTAAGGCTTTAGGGTTTTGTGGTTGGGAGTTTAGGGTAACAATCTAGAAAATCAGTCCCCAAAGGTTTAGGGGTTAGGGGTTACCTCAAAGCCGAATCCTTGACCCTAATAACCTTAACCAGTACTTGCACCCCAAAAAGTTAGTCGAAGAATAGTTTAGAATACCTTGAAAGCAGGCAAGATGGTTTTTATTGTACATTTTTTGGGCGTCTAAATAATCCCCGCACCCCAATTCCTTCAGCCTAAACCCTGAACACGTTCAGGGTTCAGTGCTTCAGGGATTGAAACTCAGGGAGCCCTCTAAAAGGTAATCAGGGGCAGCAAGCAAGGGCTACGCACGGATAAAGAATCCAGAGTCTAGTTTTTAGGGTTTATGGCTTTCAGGTCTAAGGCTTTGGGTTGAGGGGTCTTAGGTGAAAAGGTTTTGTGGTTACAGACAAAGATTCATGCTAGTGGTTGGATGCTTTGGAGCTGGGCATGAAGGATCTGGGAAATATAGGCACCTTCATCGGAACCAATTTCCATCTCGCTGACCCACATGCTGTGGGGCCTAAATAATCGCCGATGTCATGTTCAAGTCTTTTTGAGGTACCCTATGCCATAGCTAGACAAGGAACGTGGGACCAGGGTAGTGGCAATGGTTTAGGCCGATGTCTCGCGCTGCATTAAGCACTAGACCTCAAAGTCGTAAACTCGCACCCCTCAGACCAAAGCTTAAATAACAACGGCAGTGGGCATGATCCATGCGTACAAACCCTATGCCCTAAATCTTAGTTTAAAGCCCTCATAACTTTAAACCCTAAACTCTACACCTGACGCTTGTCCATTTTGAGCATGGCAGGTGGCTTCAGAGTCTGCCTGTGGATCAGCGTCTGTCCGCGCATTTTCCAAGCTTATAAGGTCCACTTCCCAAAATTCCGGCGACAATCAGCTTATAAAGCTACAAAAGTGGCCCCTTGGTTTCAGCCATTGCAAATGGGCAGGTTGAGACAAGGAAGCTTCACTGCTTCACTGTTGCAAGTCCTTGTGCCAAGGCCTGCACGGAACGAGCCACGATCTCAAATGAGGCATGGCCGGCTGCCAAACTGAGTTCGGAAACATGCGCATGTCAGCAAAAGCTAACGCCGGAGGGTCAGGGCAAGTAGGATAATAGAGATCTGGGGATATGATATGGCTTATAGGCTATAGGGGTTATAAGTCTCCTTACCAAGTCTCCATGACCCTCCAAGTAGGGCCGAAAGTCTATATGGATTATTCAACACCCCCCAAGGTAACTTTGGGTTCTCAAGCACGAGGTCTCACAGCTTAATGGTGCATGTGATCGAATTGTCCTGCGTTCGCAAAGAATTGAATTTCACAGTGATCTTGCTGGGACGGCCTCTGCACCTGCCTACTTTCACATCATGTCTGCTGCTCAGGTCCTGCTCCTGGAATTTTACAGGCGCCGAGGAATCCACAAGTATTTCACCAGACATTGCGCATTTCACGTTTGTCTCCATTCTTACCTCATTCATCGTGAAGCAACGACTGCAAGTCAGCTTGCAGGTCACGCCGTGCCCAATGCCGAATTGTGGGCTCACTGCTTTGATTTCACGAAATAAACCTGGTGCCTCTTTCCAATCTGCTTCTGGAATCGTCCATACGACACTCAAATTGGACTGCTCCGATTTGCTGTCCATCTGGGTGAAGCGTTCCTTTTGTGCCTGGATCTCGGCTTCCAGCTTGCTGATTTGTTCTTGCTGCTTGGTCGTCAACTCCCGTAGTTCTGCACATGTCTTGCTTGCCAAAGAGCAGCTTTCAACTACGCCATGGGCCGCATCCTCATTCCGCCTGTCCATGTGATAGGCGCGGATGTATGCCTTCTGCGCGTCATCCTTGCTGCCACATGCATCAAAAGCTTTGGCAGCCACGACAGCTATGCTCGCGCCTTCCGGACCACGCTTTGCTTGGGCGAGCTGGTCTGCAAGCTTCATAGACAAGCTGGGTGCCAGTTGCTGAATCTGAGCTTCCCGCAAAGACAGCTTGGGAAGCAGCTCATCCGGAACTTTGTCATGCTTTGTGAAAAGCAAGGATATCAAAACTGACTCATTCTCGTCATTGCCTGTATTAAGGCGGTCCATCAGCCAGTCTAACAGGCTGTCTTGAATCGAGGCATTGCTGGCATCTGCTTCGAAGGCTTTCAGCATCAGCGCTTCTTTTGCGGAAAGGTCGTCAGTACACCGCTTCGACATCTCCATCGAAACCAATGCCAACATCTTCTTGCAGCCTCACTCCAACGCAGGGCCACTTTAAGACTGGAATATACCTGGCGAACCTTAAACTTAAATCTCAAAAAATGAAGGTCGTTTTGTTGCCGCAGTCCCCCTACAGCAACATTCTGTACCGCTCATGGGAAGAGCTACAGGAAGGGAGCAGCAATGTTTTGCACCAAAGAACTTTCGCTGCTCGCCCCAGACAAACCTAGATCATTTCGGCAGAGCTCCTCAAGCCGTGTCGCAGAGCCTGTTGGATCTCGCAGGCACTCCGCAGTCTTTGCCAAGAGCTCTTCCTACACTTCATGCAAAGACCGTACAAGAAACCATTGCAATCTTCTGCCCATGAAGGACAGCCATCCTATAGGTAGGTACATATTATGTAACAGTAGTGGTTTCACGACTACTGCAGGATGTTACCTGGGCATAATTTGAGTTTTGCCTTACCTAGTAGACGCATAAGTGATGATTTTTTTGGTAACCCCAGTGGCTGTCATGGAACGTACAGTCATAGGGTCTTCATTTTGGGCGCTGGAGTAACAAAAGTCCTGTTTTTACACCAGCACTGAAACCTCGTGCCAAATCCGATATCATGCAAGTTTCTCCATTGTTGGCAATTATGGACTCTAAACCATAGGGCCTTTGTACCCCAGATATCTAAACTTCCATAAATGAGAGAGCCCCAACATGGATCCCAAAATACCATACTGATAAAAAAAAAAGAAAAAAACTGATTGTTGGAAACCCTAATCCCTACTTGGATGATCGTTTGACTTAGTAAACCGACGTACTATCCCTAATACCTAACACCTACCACAAGCCTTATAATCCAAGTTACTAAGTCAAAAGATCCTGCAAGTACTCCGCTACAAACCTGTGCGACTGGGACATGTCCCTAGCACCCCTATACCTCCATTGTTTCGAACCCAACAGCTTCTGAACCCTAACCTTCGCCTCATACATCCGTACAAAACTCTGTACTCCCTTGTATAGCCGCTGCTACCTCTTTAAGTCTCCGCAAAGCCCCAACCATAAACCTTAAACCACCCTACACTTCAAATGCCGAACCTTAAACATTCTAACGCACACCTTAAGTTCTCAACCCTAAGCACCAAACTTTAATCCCAAAACCTAAACCCGAAATCATCTCTTCCTGGTCTTGGCTTCCTGTATATAAACCCCTCATTAAACCAGTCCATACTTGGAAGATCTCTCGACTTAGTAAGTCTAGTTAGTGACTTGGGTTACACGGCTTTTATGGGTTACAGGGATTGTGGGAAGGGTTATTAGGTAGACTCACTAATCATCCAAGTTGCTTTTAGGTTTTAGGGTCTAATATGAGCTACTGTCAGTATGAGCCTTTCTAAGGTTTCTAAGGGAACCTTAGAAGTGGACATAAGGGTCCCATTTCGGCGCAGACAAGCTTCTGGAAGGCTTGAGAGGTCAACCTGCAGCTTGTCGCGAAGAGCCGCTAAGACCACAGCCGCTCCATCCAACCAATCACCTACCCAACGTGCCCTTGTAGGTATATAGTAAAAGGTTCGTGTAGGTATATAGTATAGGGTTTAGGGTTCAGGTTTAACGTTTAGGGCTGAGGGTTTAGGGTGGGTATGTAGTATATACCTAGGGCAAGATCCCATATACCTACTTCAGGGCCCAAGTATATACTATATACCTACATGGACCCTTAGGGCTAGGCATGTCTCGATTGTGATAGATGTGTATATCTTACTGCGGCATAGTAAGGAATCAGGGAATACGAAATTAAGGGCTTAGGGTCTAGGGTTAGTAGGGAAGAAGCGAGCGTATATATGTGATATGAGGACCATGCAGGGAGTGTATTCCCCGATCCCGTACTAACAATTTGAGTGCACCCGGCCTGGTTCTGAAAGGGTGCCTAGTTCATAAACTAACTGCCAGAGCTTTTCTACACCGTCCGCGTTCTTTGCTTTGGCTGCCAGTCTGCACACATGCTCTCCATCCAAAACATGGGCACATTCTGCAATTGGCGGATGGCGTGCAGCCGCTTGCATCTGGGCGACAAGCAGGTCGCTGCACTTTGCCAGCCGTGCGCCAACATTCCAGGCTTCAAAGTTGCGGGTCACATCCTGGACCTGAAGTATTTTAGGGTGAAACCGCAAGAAATTGAAATAGTATCTTATTTTATGTCTTTGTACCTTCCCTCGTCTCCACAGAAAGAAACAAGGCTGCCACGAAAGTCCCCAAGGTACAGCTTCAAGAGCCTCCGGCGTTTGGGCAAGGCTTCCAAGGGAGCTCGTCCACTGCGTTGCCTCGAAGATCTGAGGGCAGCCCGGCCCTTAACCTCACTTCCGAGATGGAGGGTTTAGGGGTTAGGGTATCGCTTTAGGGTTCAGGGTTTAGGCTTCAGGGTGCAGAGTCCAGAGCGTTCCCAGATGGAGGGTTACTAGGGTAGGTTTGGGGGCCCTATAAAACGTATCTTAGTTTATAGGGATTCTAGGAACCAAGGGCAGCAAATATTTAAGAACGTCCCTGTTTAGGGTTTAGAGTTGAAGGTTAAGGCCACTAATGGGTTCAGGGTTTTTGGTTGAGTAGTACCTTTAGTTCGGGTTATAAAGACCCTAATAGTGGGCACAAAGGCACAGTTTAAGGTTTAGGATTTGGGTTTAGGGTGTTGTGCGGCGCGTGTAATGCTGTATTGTTAGGGAGCTCCATCCATGCCAACTTTATTCACTTCCATTCCTGACACAATAATGGTACAATACAACCCCCAAACCCTATTGAAAAGCAATGAGCCCCTACATCAAAAAATGCGGTAATCTCTAGGGCCTTCAAGGGAAGAAGCTGTGAAACAAGTAGCACGAAGCTGAAAACACGGTCAAGGCCGAAGGTTTATACAAGTACCCCAGAGGTAAGTAAAATCATGGCCTACGAAACCCCATCAAAACAGCCAAAGCGGCCATTCTACTACATGAGCTATAGTCTAAACTCCTAGTATCCCCCATTTTACAAGCCCTACAGTACTCCCCTATAGTCCCCTACTTGACCCGCTTTACGGAGTTTACAATATGGCTCACCTACTTTGGGGATCCACGTAGGGCTGAAAGGACTGGACAGGAGTTGGGTTTAGGGTTTAAGGACAAAAGATCCATCCTTTAGATACTGCTCAGGTGGGGTGGGTACCCCTTACATAAAGCGTTCATAAAACCTATATGGGGAGACTAACAGAAATGTATATATATATATACATATAGAGACATGTAGAATTAAGGTTCAGGGTTCAGGGACAAGCGACCCGCCTGTGAAATTTAGACCGTGGCCCTTGTCTTTACAAACTGAGCTCTGAAATCCTTTGCATGCTGGTGCCCGCATCCTACCTGGCAAACCTACGGCCGGAAATACCCGGGCTTATGTCAGCCCGACCTCAGATTAGCCAATAGCCAGATAGTCCCAGCCAAGTGGCGGAAACCCTCTGACGAGTTCCCTAATCCTGTTACAGTCCCCCTGAAGTAGAAAGAATATGGAATTGACCAATATATTATAATAGGATCCCCATATTCCCCATCTTCTATCTACTTAAGGGGGACTATACCCCTAAACCCAGGCAAGTGGCTGAAACACTCGGATGAGCTTCCCTTGTGCTGCTGCGCCAGGAAGCTGGGCCCGTGCGAAGTCTTCCGCGCGGGAGAGGAGCTTCTGTGCATGTTCACTCGGAACCCCTGCCATGCGGTTTAGGGTTCAGGGTTTAGGAAGCGGCCCCCAGAGGCAAGACCAAAAGGTCCAACGTAGTGCTCCTCGTCACTTCCCTTCCCCCACACCTAAATACCTAACTGGGTTGCTGTTAAGGAATACTATGCAAAAAGTAAACCATAGGGTGGTACGACCACTGAGGCTAAGTTCCTTAACACCACGCCTCCTAAACACTTGGTAAACCCAAGCCCTCTCACTTGTGAACTTCTGCCTGGCGCGATGGAGAGGATCTCGTCAATGATTTTCTCTTTGTAGCTTAAGATGGCTGACTTCACACCCTGGTTCGGGATGACCTGCGCGAAGGCTTGAACTTAGGACCAGAAAATGCTTGTTCTAGTGTAAGGGCTCTCCATGTTAGGAGTTGACGGCCTGTTGCACCCAAAACCTCAACAGAAGAAGCTGTTCATTTCTACTCTACCCTACCCGCCGACAAATTAGTCTGGACCTTATTGCACTCCTGGCCACGTACGGCGAAACCCTAAACCCTAAACCCTTAACCCTAAATTAGATGGTTCCTTTCGCACATTGTTACCCTTGCTGCAGGGTGCAGGCTCCAGGAGCCCAGTTACAATTACTGAGACTTCCATATGATATCTCAGCCACATATGACCCCTGGACTAAAATTTCAGTACATTGCTTCATAGGTCCCCGTTTACCCCTTACATATATACCCATACAGGTCCCTCCAACCTAACTTTAGTCCGCAGCTCATATCATGGCGCGCTCCTGTGGTTCGATTGAGTAGGAGAACGCGTGACATTCCAAATGGGCTGAAGGGCCTGGGTTATGAACGTATCCAGAAAGACAAACACTCAGTTTACTGTGTTGCTGCTAAGTTATGATACCACAATATGGGTACATCATGTTATAATCTGGGTTTCCTTGTTGAAGTATCTTAAGATATCTTAAGTTAAGTTCTTTAACAACCACCCAGTTTAGGGTTTTTGGAATGGCTGTCTTGGGATTGCGCTGCCGGCGACGAACGAGCCAGAATAAATCTGACGTCTCTAAATAACAATTGTCTTGGCCTCTTTGCAGCCCTAGTCAGACGATGGTCCCCCTTAAGTAGATAGAATATGGGGTATATGGGCATCTTATTATAAGCTACCCAAAGCCATATTCTATCTAGAGGTGTCTGGCAATGAGCAAGAAAGGAAGTCTTCAAGTATTGAATTCCCTTTGAGAGCTTGCTCCTAACTGAAGAAAGCGGATTTTCTTACTGCCAAGAAGTTAAACACTTGCACCCTAAACCCTAAACCCTGAACCCGAAACCCTAAACCCTAAA